AGAAAAAATCTCAAACTATTGAGAAAAAGAGAATATTTAATGAGAAAATGCTGATGACAAAAAAATTGAGACTAAGATGAAAGGACTAAAGGGGGATAAGTTCGTGATCCAACCCAGTGAATAATGACACAAGGAGATGTGTTTAAGCGTCTAAATAGATCCTATCTATCACTAACTTCCTTCTGATTCATGGTAGTGACAACATACTTTGATTCTCTACTCTATGAATTGTCTTTGTACAATTATTATCTGTTCTTAATAATTCTCCTTATTTTTCTCATTAATTTCTAATTTTTTCTCAATTTCTTGAAATAAATAGTAAGATCCTCTTCTAAATGATGTATTTGACATCTTTAAACTTAAGGGCGTATCGAAGCTACTCATTTGTAATGCATCATTCGAAAAATGCTATTCAATTTCGTTTATACATTGAAGTAGTGATAAGCTTCTACAGAATAGTTCTCTCTCTCTTTCTGTTAACTGACAACTGCTTCTTTAAATAAGTTGTGATAATAAACAATAGCCAACCACTGTGGACACAAGAAAAGAGAATAACACAATGTAAACAAGCAAAGCACTCGACGTAGTTCAGCAGGTAAGGGTCTTTCTTTTATTAAAAGGGCACTAAACTTTATAGATGCTTACCAATGAAAAAGGATATAAGAAGTGTATTAAAAAGGTTAATCAACGATCGATAGGTGATATACACTTTGGTTCTTAGCAAAAAAAAAAAAAAAAGTGATTGAATTGGTCGTTTTTAAAGTTAAGTGCAACCATTGCGAAATAGATACTTTTTGTAAGTTCATGGTTTGATTTATTCCATATTCAAATCATCCGAAGTGTATATGCAAATATCGGTGTTTGAACAGAAAATGATGCAAAAAAAAACTATATATAAAAGGTACTACTCTTCATTCAAAAGTAAACATATACTTCTTTGTATAACAATAGTAGTACTTTAATAATGGATACAAAAAACATTTATCAATATCTTCAAAAGAAGCTTTTACAATATGAATTGATAACAGGAAGTTATGTGATGGAGCCTTGGGAGAAAATGACATTCAGTAAGTTTGTCAAGACAATTACTCGGTTTTATGTATTTGAAACTCGATATTAACACTTCTCCTAGATACTTTTATATTTTGTATTTTTGCCTTTTCACTTCGAACATTCTTACAAGTCACTCCAACTGTACTCTATAGAGTGGCCAACATTGTTGCTTGAAGGTGAAGATTCTCCGCTACAATATATTTATATAATTGTATACAACCTATTCACAAGCCATTACTAATCTATGATATCTATACGCTCTATTTAAACTCTTTATACTTTTATAACTACATGTCTCTAATTCCCATTCTTATCATTCCAATTCTAATAAAAAAAAATACTTTTCTATATAATATATATCTTGATTGAAGAGCATTCCAAGTAGCAATTGAGTGTGACAAAGCTATGCAAAAGGGAAAGACAATATATCGGCTCTGAGGTTAAAATAGTAGAAGAAAAAAGACTACCATAAAATGATATTTGTAGGTTTAATATTTTAACCAGTTTGCTTTATTCTTTTACTACGAAATACAACGAGTCGCTCAGCATAACTTCACCACAACTTTATGAATACACTTAATGAAAAAATGCAAAATATACTTTTTCTGAGTAATGCCTCTTCGCTTTTTTTTTTTTGTTTTTTTTTGTTTTTTTTTGCTCAGTAAACAATCAGATGGGTTTTGTTTAGTAAGTCACAGCATTTAACTTCGGACAATTTATCTTCCATAGAGGAAGTAGAACGGGTATTCAGTTATGTATAAAGACGTTTTCATCCGGAAAAACATCATATATGCAAAAAATAGATCGATAGACTGTAGTTTTATGTAACTAAATAAACGACATATATATGGTTGTAATACACAGCGCCTTAAAAGCACTATTTATCTCGAAAATTGTGATTTTGCTTTTGATAGTGGGCTTTCGTTTTTACCGGCATTATATTATTTTCCCTGTATCAATTGTCAAATAGCAACTGGAAAAATAGTTTATTATACTTCTATCGGGTTTCTTTTCCCTTGGCCGTTCCCTTCATTTTTTTTAAAAAAAAACCTTATATATTTTTATGAAATATCTTTTAATGAATTTTATACAATATTAATGATGATATAATGACTTATTTTCTTGGTGTTAAAGATCTTCCTACTTTGAGCTTTTCTGCAGACTCAAAAGTCGACGTAAATGTGAATTTGTAATGTCGAATTTTTACTTCAACTCTTATTTCAGTTTGACCAAAGAACATATGAATAAACATCTCTACTTTATCACCCTTGGCCATGTCTGGAAAATTAGGCATTTTGATAGGAAATTTGGCTACTTTGTATACTCTTGGGTCAGTTATAGAACGTGGAGGATCTCCGTTGCCATTGTATGCATATAAATCTGATATTTTTTTTTTAAAAAAAAAGAGAGAATCATCAATTTATGTTACACGATACGAACATCTCACCTTACCTGCATCTGTATTGTTGGGGTATTTGACTGTATATTTTTTGAATATATATTCATTATTCTTTAAGGTCTGTCCTTTTTTTACATAAACACTAAATCTTCTGGCACAATATGGGATACCATTATTTAAGACTACGTGACTTTTGCTATCCAACAATGGATTAAAAGGCAATGCGGCCATAATTCCATAAGATCTTTTTGAGATACGTTCAGAGATCAAAGTAGGCGAAAGACCAAAGCATACAGCACCGCGAGAAATAGCAAGTTCTCCACGGGGTACTTGTTTAATAACATTGATGTCATTTTGAAATACTTCAGAGATGCGATTCATTAAATATTTATTCCGTCCAAATCCTCCTACCAAAAGCAAGCCATTCAACTTTTCTTCTTGATCGTTTTGCTCTAGTTGCTCTCGAATCAAATCAAGAATTTTATCAATAACTGGATCGAATACGCGAGTACGAAGCTCATCATAGGTCACAAGTAATTTGCCATCCTTTATACCAAGGTCCCTGTTTTCTTTGATGGTTTTTTTATCCTTTCTTAGTTTATTGGGAAGTGTGATGTAGATATCCTCTTTATTTTCACCAAAGACTGTCTGAAATATAGAATATTCAGCAATGAGCATCAAACTAATCCATACTCCCCTCCTCCAGTTTTCCTTACCTTTTGCTCCATTGTAAATGTATCCATAATGATCTGTAGCCTTTTTTTTGAAAGTTCACCTTGAGACGCTAACTTTTCCTTTATCAAATTCAACATATTTTTATCCACAAGCGAAGAGCCATATGCGTCTCCGGAACCACTAGTCACTTCGTGTAAAGTACGATTTCCATCCTCATCCTTACTCAGCTCAAAGATGATCAAATCCACTGTACCCCCACCTGCATCACACACCATAAATCGCTGTTTATCACTCAGTCGAAACTCCTTCATTCGCTTCTCACAGTAAATAGCAGCAGATTCTGGTTCACTAATGAGCATCAATCGAAGCGGATGATCATCACGATTAATGATCCCAGCTCTAACCGCAGCCTCGCGCATCGAGGCCTTTGCTTGATCATCCCAAATCGCTGGTACTGTAAGACAATACCTGAGTCGATTTCGACTCAGATTGCTAATCTTGCTCTCCATCACCTTATACACATAACTATGAAGACATTCCAAGTATTCGCTAATGAGCTTTACGCTTGAAAACCCTGGTGGTAAGTTGGCAGTGTTTGGCTGATGCAAGTATAACTTGAATAGCGAATAGAACTTATTTTCTTTATCTGAGAGCTTTAGTCTTTCCTTTTCAGCCTTTTTACCCCAGTATTTATGTTTCCCGCTACTATCATATATGAGTGCTGTGGGTGTTTTTGGGTAATGGTTGTTATCGTGACCTGGCCTATTTAGTAGTAGATGTTTGAAAATCGGTCAAAAAGAGAGAGAGAAAGTGGTTTAATACTTACCAGCTGGTGACATCCACTATTTGAGCATCTTTTCCACCTCCACAACTTGACCAGGAGCATCCTGAATAAGTAGTACCAAAATCTTGAAGAAAAAAAAAATAAGAAGCACGATATTTTTACAGATCAATTTTCTTTTCTTACCTATTCCAACGACATAGTCATAATTGTTGATATTAAAAGTTGCCTGTCTGGACATTTTATTCTGTAAATAAAAAAGAGAGGTACAAAGAGAATTAGAAGGGTCTGCGCATTTGCGTTTATTTAAGAAGTGTTACAATTCGAAAAGCCAGCGTCGTACTTAAAATTTCCTTTTTTCTTTTCAATTGCTATTAGAGATCCCCTAAGCCCAACTATAAAACAAACAGAATAGATCTATACAGCATTTGAGCGCAGATACATTGAGTTTTTTCTTACGAAAAAAATAAATAAA